ACGAGAGGCTCCTACAGCGACTATACTCTTTTCTGCCGCTAGGAGGCGCTCCTCGAGGAGGTCAACGGTGAGGGTGGTGGGGCAAACAGAGAGGAAGTGGTCCCTGACCGAGCGAAGGGTGTCAGGGAGCCGGGTGACTATGTAGTAGAGGGTGATGTACATAGGGGGGGGGTTCTTGGCGCAGAACTCAGCAGGAAGCGCAGCGCGGTAGCGAATGTCACTAGTGCGAAGGTGCATAATGAGGTCAGCGACTGTGGGAAAAGCGGCGAGGTCAGGGAAGAGGTACGGCAGAATGAGGCGGCTAAGGGCAGCAGTGGCAGGGGAAGAGTAGCGTGCAACGACAGCATCGTACAAGGTCTTAGCACTCTTGTACTGACTAAAATGCGCGCGCTCAGCGGTCGGTAAGTGGCGGCGCACAGCAAGGCGAGCAGCAGCATCGCGCGTGGCCCACTGTGAGCGAACAGTGGCATCAGCATCAGCAGACGGGGCAGGAGAGGCACCAGACGTGAGATCGAAAAGGGAGAGACCGTCTGCCCTATCGCACTGTAGGAAAAGCTGCAAGTCATCGACCCAGACCTCAAAGTCAACAGCCCGACCCTCAGCATCAAAGGTAAGGACACTGGGGGTAGCCATGACAGCAGCAGTCTAGGGGTGAGAGCGGCAAGCTAGAGGTAGTGCAGTGGCAGAGACGCTGCTCGGGAAAGCTCTCACCAGTCCGAGTGGGGAGGGCCGGGGCGCGCCGGCAGGAACAGGGCCGCAGCTGCGGCGGCGGCGGTTCGGCGGCTCAGCAGCGGCTCGGCGGCTCGGCGGCGGCTCGGCGGCTCGGCGGCGGCTCGGCTGCGGCTCGGCGGCTGCTTGGCGGTTCGGTGGCGGCTCGGCGGCTCGGCGGCTCGGCTGCAGCTGCGGTGGCTCAGCGACGGCGGCAGCAGGGCCGGTGTAGGGCGGCGACGGGGCCGCTGAAGGGCGGCGGCGGGGCCGCTAGAGGGCGGCGACGGGGCCGCTGGAGGGCGGCGACGGGGCCGCTGAAGGGCGGCGGCGGGGCCGCTAGAGGGCGGCGACGGGGCCGCTGGAGGGCGGCGACGGGGCCGCTGAAGGGCGGCGGCGGGGCCGCTAGAGGGCGGCGACGGGGCCGCTGGAGGGCGGCGACGGGGCCGCTGAAGGGCGGCGGCGGGGCCGCTAGAGGGTGGCGACGGGGCCGCTGGAGGGCGGCGACGGGGCCGCGGTAGGGCGGCGACGGGGCCGCTGAAGGGCGGCGGTGGGGGCCGCTAGAGGGCGGCGACGGGGCCGCGGTAGGGCGGCGACTGGGCCGCTGAAGGGACGGCGGCTGGGCCGCTAGAGGGCGGCGCGAGGGGCCGTAAGGGGTCGTGAGGGGCCGTGAAGGGCGGCGACGGGGCCGAGACGGGGCCGCGAGAGGCCGCGAAGGGCGGCGACGGGGCCGTGAAGGGCGGCGTCGGGCCGCGAAGGGGCCGCGAGGGGCGGCGCGAGGGGCCGGAAGGGGCCGCGAAGGGCGGCGCGAGGGGCCGTAAGGGGCCGCGAGGGGCCGTAAGGGGCCGTGAAGGGCCGTGAAAGGGGCCGCGAGGGGCCTTAAGAGGGCGCGTCGAGCCGCTAGGGGCTAGGGACGCGACGGGAGGGAGGGCACACGGGGCGCGACTCGGGCAGGAGTGAAGCGCGCTCCGGGCAGGAAAAAAAAAAAAAAGTTGATCGTGGTGGGCCCTAGGAAGCGTTCCCACTATGGAACCTGCTCTATACCATGTGAAGATTTAGAACGAGAATGGTGAACTAGGAAATGAGCTGGGTACAAATATGAAACCCTAGAAAGCTGTACCCCATACTGTCTACCCCACTACAGCCTAGAAAGACTATAGCATATAAGTTCGACAAGGCGATCGACGACGACCATTACCGAATCGTTGCCACTCGTGCCAGCTGGGAGCCCCGTGACGAAATCCATCGTCACCTGTTGCCACGGCCGTTCGGGTGGCGCGAGGGGTTGCAACAGTCCGGCTGGCCTTTGTCGCGACGACTTCATTGCTTGGCAGGTCGGGCAAGTTGACACGTAGCGCTGCACATCGGTGTGCATGTCCGGCCAGTAATAATTCCGCTGCAGCAGCTTCAGTGTTTTGTCGGTGCCGAAATGCCCGGAAAGGTTGGAGTCGTGAACCTCCTGCGTCAGCAGCTCCCGTAAAGGTCGGTATGCTGGTACCAAATCCGGTTCGTACCGGCTTTTAGGTAGTACTTGCCGTGCGGTGTGGCGACCTGTTGTTGCGGGTTCCGAAAAAACCTGTCGATCTTGTAGCCGTGGGTGAATAGTCCCGTCAGCATCGGGTTGGTGTGGGCGATTAGTACCACCGCGTTTTGCATGGATGGCCTGGTGAGGGCGTCGGCGATGTTGTTGGCGCCTTTCTTGTACGTGATGATGTACCGAAAATTGGACTCGAGAAAGTCCAACCACCGGATTTGTCGCGGGTTGAGTGTCGTTGCGTGCGCATGTACTGTAGCGATTTGTGGTCGGTCCGAATTGTCACGTCGGCTCCCGTGAGATAGCAGCGCCAGGTACGAAATGCGTGGACGATGGCCAGCATCTCTTTGTCGTGGACTGGGTAGTTGCGCTCGGGTGGCTGCATCTTGCGTGACTCGTAGGCGATGGGTTGCAGCCCTTGGCCGAAGTCCTGTAGCAGGACGGCGCCGACGGCGAAATCGCTGGCGTCCGTGACGACTTCGAACGGTCGAGATGGGTCGGCGAGGCGGAGTACCGGGGGCGAACCCAAAATGTTTTTGAGGGCATCGAAGGCGGACTGCTCCCTCTCCCCCCACCTGAAATCACTGTCGTGGTGCAGCAGGTCGGTCAGCGGCTTGGTTATCCCAGCCATATTAGGTACAAAACGGCGAACGTAGTTAACAAACCCTAGAAAACTTTGCAACTCAGGGATATTAGTAGGCGGCGGCTTCCACTTAACGATGGCGTCCACTTTACCCGGGTCGATTTTGATTCCCTCGCCAGAAACCACATGCCCCAGAAATTCCAGTTCCGGCTTCAGAAACTCGCACTTAGACCCCTTCGTAATCAGCCGATGCCCCTGTAAACGCCGGAACACCTCCTCTAAATCCCGCAGATGGTCCTCTTTTGTCGCGCTGTACACCAGGATGTCGTCCAGATACACGATGACCTTCTTGTCCAGCATGTCCCGGAAAATTCCGTTCATTGTGAGCTGGAATGTTGAGGGCGCGTTTGTCAGTCCGAACGGCATCACCGTAAACTCGTAACTGCCGTAGCGTGTGCGAAAAGCTGTTTTCGGGCAGTCGTCGGCGAACACGCGAATTTGGTGGTAGCCTCCGCGCAGGTCGATTTTCGAGAAATACCGGGCTCCGCGAAGTTGATCCAGCAGATCGTCGATTCGCGGGATCGGGTAACGCGATTTTATGGTGACCCGATTCAGCGCCCGATAATCAATGCACATGCGTAGGCCCCCGTCCTTCTTCGGTGTGAACAGTATCGGCGCTGCATACGGCGACGTGCTTGCCCGGATAAATCCCTTGGCGAGCAGGTAATCCAGCTGGGCCCGCAACTCGGCGAGCTCTGGTTGGCTGCGGGTGGCATCGTCATAAATCATGGCAGCATTAAAAAACACCTCCACGCCGAACAACCATGCAGAAACAGTGACGAACTTGTCACTTGGGTTAAACGGGGGCGGGTTTGTCGGCTTGATTTTAACAAAAGCCGTTGCTGCCATCGGGGCCGGCGTCGCCGTCGTCGTCGCCGCTGCACGTGTCGGTGCTGCACGCGACTGTTGTGGTGACTGTTGCTGCTGCACCTGCCTCGCCTCGTCCGCATCCATCTCGCCTTCCAGCTCGCTCCAGACCCGCTCATCTGGTGCAGTGCTGCTACTTGCGTCGTCCACGACAGGCGACTCCTGGCGCGCTTCACCACGCGCCTGGTGTAGTTCGGCGTTTTCCTCCCGAAGACGCGCCATTTCTGCAGACATCGTCTGCATGTTGGCCTGCATCATCCGGAACTGTTGCATGAACTCGTTGAACTCCGCCTGGTCCATGTGTCGCAGGCTTCGTCTAACGGGCAGGGGGTGGCTAGCGATTTTTTCTGACTTCGGTGAAGGCGTTAATGCTATCGTAGTCGGAGTGGAATAATCGGATCTATTCCACGGGCCGACCGCTTAACAACCCACCAAGTCTATCGCTCCCCTCCTACAAACTACCCCGGAAACGCGAGGGTTACCTAGGAAATTAGGCTCTGATACCAAGTGTTATGAGTTGTGAAAGGAAGAGTGCGCAAAACTCAATAATATGGAAGTGATTACAACGTCTGAGAACACAACGAGGCCTAGGACTAATATAGCGAAGCTAGCTAGGCCGAGGTCGCGGGGTCGCGAGATGGTTGGGTGCAGGTTCGGGGTTGGGAAACCCGAAGGCGACGATGTAGTGGCTCGGAAGGCGAGGTCGGCGGACCGAGCCTGGTTTTCCGAAAGTCGGGGTTGTACGCGTACAGTGTGACCCAGTAAGGAATCCGAAAAATTCCTTACAATGGTAAAAAAGAGATTCAAGGCGTGTTACCCTATTCTAGTTTTAGATTCAAAAGATGACATGAAGTTAGACCTAGATTGATATTATTTATGAAAGTCCAAATGACTGTTACATATCGTTATGAAGGCATCAGCCACCCTATCGTGCCTTTCAAGCAGAGCCAAAGGAGCAAGCACGAGCCAAAGGACCTTGATGCAAAACGAGACTTATAGTTGCTTACCGCGTAGCCACTATCGTAGGCTAGGGCTTCCGTCCTAACAAATGCAGTCGCGGATGCAATATAGCTACGACGCACGACAGCAACGCTAGGCTGCATCCTCGTGGTATCTGTTGAAGCACCGCATCACCCCACCGCGTGCGTCGAGCACCACCATTGCTGGCTACAATGCCACACCCCTGCCCACACCTCCCAAAGCATTGCAAGGCGTTCTGAAAGCTTCTCGCGCTGCCCCCGACCGCCAACCATGCGGGGCGTCCGCGCATCAGGGCGCGCCATATGCACGGCTCGTCTGCTCGCCGCTGCACTGTTCGCGTGCGCGCTGGGCCTCGCGTCCGACGCGCTTACCGCCGCCGTGCACCCACCGCTTCTCGCGGGGTCACCCTCGCGCCACCACGTGGAGGCGGCGCCGGTTCGCGTGCGAGCGGCTGCGAGTCTGATCGCGGCGGCTGTGAGCGGGGGGACGGGAGAGCGGCATGCCGCTGCGCTGGCAGGCGCGGCGTTGAGTGGCGCCCTCGCGCGCGTCTATCGCCGCCGCCACGCCCCTTCTCTGAGCGCCGACCCCGCCTGCCCTCCCGACCCCTCCCACCGTTTCATCACTCACACGCATCCCTCCTTGCCCATCCCCACCAGCGATACCCCTCCGCTGCAGCCACAATGCGCGGAAGAAGGGCCGAGATGCGCGGATACTAGGGCTCCGCTCTTCCCCATACTCGAAGGTAACGTACCCCTTTCCCGCCATAAACCTCTCCCCATTCCATGGGGCCATCACATCTTCACCCACCCCTTCCCTTCATACCACCACTCTTACCAATCTCACCGCAATCGCCAATCCTGCTGCTATCCGCCATTCCTGCCTCCCCTCCTCCACGCTACTTGATTTTTGAGTCGACTCAAAAATCAACTCGCTACAATGTCACACGGTGTGTTTTCTACACGGAGAGCTATCGTCGCTTGGAAGTTGCCTAAAAGAGTTGGAAATTATTTAGTTTCTGCTCATAAGAGCTAGTGTAGTGTAGTGTTTGTTACAGCCCTACAGTACAGCTTCTCCCTGGCCCAGCGAAGGAATGCCTCGCGTGGAGCCCTTGGGAGTAGTATATTAGCTCTAGTTTGCTTCATTTTCATTTTGTGGTCTGAGGAAGGCTATAAGCCGAAACCGGTTACCGCCGAAATTTTCTCCACAAGAGAAACAAGCAAACTTTTAACTAACAACAATTTTTTACAAGGATTGAACCTAGTTGCTGCCACGTAAAGACTATGGCTCCCGTCTGGGGTTCCATCGCCATTCCTGCCTCCCCTCCTCCACGCTACTCTTGCTTCCCTTCCAATCACCTCTTTCGCCTCCCCGCCCATGCACCCCGCCCGTCCCCCGCGCGCGCAGGTCTGCTGGACGCCGCCGTGCTGCACCTCATCGTCGCTGCCGCCACTCCTCTCCTCCCCCGCCTCCCATCGCCCGCCACCCTCACCAACCACCCTGCCGGCCGTTTGCCTTTCGTGGCTGCGGCGCTCGCTCCACGGGCCCTCGCGCTGGGCCGCCTGCTGCTGCTGCTCGCCGCCACAGCCGCCGCCACCTCCTCGTCCTCCTCGCTCCTCCCCCTCCTCCTCCTCGCGCGCCCTCCAGCGGACCCCCCCGCCTTCTGGGCGCGCGCCCTGCGCCTGCTGCTGGCGGACCTCGTGGCGCTGCTGCTCGGCGCGCTGCTGCTGCCCTTGGCTTTCGCGCCTGCTGCGCCACTCGCGCACATGCAAGGGGCGGGGGAGGCGGGTCAGGCGAGGGGGGAGGAGGGCACACTGGGGGAGGAGGGCACACTGGGGCAGGCGCAGGCTGGAAGGGAGGGGGGACAGAAGGGGTGCGGGGAGGAGAGCGAGGGCATGGCGCAGGGAGGTAGTGGGGAAGGCAGTGGGGAGAGCATCGGGGAAAGGGGATGGGCGGAGGGGCTGTACGATAAAGGGGGGGCGGCGCATGGCAGGTGTGGGGGAGGCATGCAGGCGAGCAGTGGGGGCGGAGGGGCATGGGGCGTGGCGGTGGTGTGCGGGGTGGTGGCGGGCAGCTGTGGCGCTCTCCTCTCAGGCGCTCTCTCCGCCTCCCATGCCGCCCCGCTCACCGCCCTGCTCGCCCCCACTCTCCTGTGCTGCGCCGCCCACTCGCCACGGTAACCGCGTGGCCGTGCACGAATGCTTTCCTGTTGCTTCGCCCTGTCATGCCACTCCTCATCTCCTTGCTTCTCATGCGCCCACCTAACCCTTCTCTTCATGCGCCCCCAATGAATGTGTTGGTGCGCTTCTCCCTCCCTCCACCAGCCACCTTGCAGCCGCCACACTCGCACTCTCAGCATCAACCCTCTCAGCCGCGTCAGCAGGGCTGGGCCCCTTTCACCGCGCTGTACCGGTTGAAGCTACGCTTCAGGTGATTGGCAGGAGGGTGCTATGGATGGGGGTGGAGATTGGGGAGAGGGTGGGAGTGTGTGTGAGGTGCTCACGTGGGTGGGTGGATGCCACACCGCAGCCACCCACAGGCCTTGGAACGCGTTTCACTGCTCACATTGCGTCCTCCACTACCCTTCACATGCACATGCATCATCCCCACCCCAATTCCCCCTCGCCCCTCGCAGCTGCAGCTCTTCCTGCTCGCCCTCCTGCTGCTGGCCCACCTACTCCTGCCGCTCTCAACCGCCCCCCGCCCGCCCTGCATCACCTGCTGCCACACCAACGCGTGAGTTGTTGCCCCTGCCTGCACGGTACCGACCAATCCAACCACACATCACTCCGTGCGCGCACCAGTCGATACCTCGCTACCAATTCGCCTCGCTGATCCCAATTCCCCCATCCCTGCGATCTGTCGCATCATGCCTGTTGTGCCCGCTGCCATCCCTTCTCCTCCCACACGCACTTGATGCCCCTCGCCGGCCGGCCCTCAGAGCGGAGCGGGCAGAGCGGGCACGGCGCGTGGCAGCGCTGGAGAGCCACGTGGCAGCGCTGCAGGGCCAGGTGGCAGAGCTGGAGGGCGAGGTGCAGCAGGAGCGAGAGGTGGCGCGGGCGGCAGGGGAGGCGGTGCGTGCAGCGGTGGAGGCGAAGGTGCAGTTCATGGCGAACATGAGCCATGAGATCCGCACGCCCATCCACGGCATCCTCGGCATGACCGACCTCGCCCTCGACAACCCCCTGCCCCCTGACGCCCGGGAACACCTTGAAACCGTGCTGCAGTCCGCCAACCACCTGGTAACCACCTGTTAACCCCTCAGAGCTTGTGTTTCGGCCACCTCACATATTATTCTCCAATCATCACGTGCATCTCCTCTGATGTGTCGCTATATCTTTCCTGCCACCCGCCCCTGCCCCCTGTCCCCTTGGTGCGTGCGTGCATGGGTGGGTACGGGGGAGAGCAGCTGCTGGTGGTGAACGACATTCTGGACATCACCAAGCTCGAGGCGGGCCGCCTGCACCTCGACTGCGCCCTCTTTGACCTGCGCGCTCTCCTCAACGGCATCATGACAATGCTTGCCGCCCGCGCCGCCCTCAAGGGCCTGGCCTTCCAGTGGGAGGTGGATGCGGCTGTGCCGCCCGTGCTGCTGGGCGATGCCGTGCGCCTCCGACAGTGCCTGGTAGGGTTTAGGCTGTGATGCTCTGAGGTGCCTCCGACAGTGCCTGGTAGGGTTTAGGCTGTGATGCTCTGAGGTGCCTCCGACAGTGCCTGGTACGCACGGCTGTGATGCTCTGAGGTGCCTCCGACAGTGCCTGGTACGCACGGCTGTGATGCTCTGAGGTGCCTCCGACAGTGCCTGGTACGCACGGCTGTGATGCTCTGAGGTGCCTCCGACAGTGCCTGGTACGCACGGCTGTGATGCTCTGAGGTGCCTCCGACAGTGCCTGGTACGCACGGCTGTGATGCTCTGAGGTGCCTCCGACAGTGCCTGGTACGCACGGCTGTGATGCTCTGAGGTGCCTCCGACAGTGCCTGGTACGCACGGCTGTGATGCTCTGAGGTGCCTCCGACAGTGCCTGGTACGCACGGCTGTGATGCTCTGGTGCCCCCGACAGTGCCTGGTGCGCACGGCTGTGATGCTCTGGTGCCCCCGACAGTGCACGTTGCTGGCAGGTCGTTGTTGTTGAT